ATTTGTTAGTCTCTAAGGTGCCACAAGGACTCCTCGTTTTTGCTGATACAGACTAACACGGCTACCCCTCTGAAACCTATTATAATTAATCCTTATTCATCCAGGCTGGTCCTGTGGTTAGAGCACTACCCTAAGACTTGGTAGACCCAAATTCAATTCCTTGCCCTGCTACACATTTCCTGTGTGACTGTGGATTAGTCTCTCTATGCCTTGGTTCCCCAGCTGTAAATGAGGGTAATCGTATTTCTCTGTGTCACATGGGGTATTGTGAGGATGTTTAGATTCCACAATAAGAGGATCCATATAAGTACCTTAGATGGAAAGGAGAGAACCGAGTTAGAAAGCATTTATCAAAAAAATAATCCACGAGAAAGAGTTTGCTGGGTGCATAAGAGCCAGAGGTTGGACAGTGGGTATTTTAAGAAAAAAAAATACAAACAAGATGGTGGACGGCATAGCAATAGCAGAGCTTCAGCTAACGGTATCGTATATGTTTATGGGGCAACACTAGTCGCTCCATAGTTAAAGTTGCAGCAGAGTTTCTGTGTAAGGGCAAATTTTGCATGACCTCTCCAATCCATAAGAGACGGCAGAGCTGCCTGAAATTTGGTAAGCCAGCTCAGACGTAAGGGTAGTTTCATGTGCAAAATATGAAATTTTTGACAAGGACGTCCCAAGTTACAGTATCTTTGACTGGCTTTTGTTTTTTGAACAGCTGCTTTTCCAGTTGCAAAAATGTAACAGGTTCTTGCACATCTGTTAAGCATCTCTCTAAAAAATCAGTTAAATAAAGAAAATGATTCAGCATAACTTTTATAAGTCTAGTTAACAAGACTTTTGCATTAAAAAAAAAAGACATTGGCTGTGCATGAGCTGGTGCGCCTCAAGTGATTTGTTGCCTTTTAATAATGGATATAAATCTTCATAATAAATGTATGATATGAGACTGTTCCAATTTTAAGTTTCTCTGCTGTTATAAAAATGTTTGGTGTAGTTGCTGTTTTCACTATAGAATCAACCAGCAAAGTGAAACCAGAGGCAAAAGAAATATCCTGTACTTAGAGATAAAATGGGGGTGAAATATAAAGTGGGTGCTTGTTAAAGCCACCTACTTGTGTTCATTTATTTTAACCACACAATTTAATTCTTAACACATTCTTCCTGAACAGGATTCTTAAAAGGCTGGTCAGTATTAACTACTACATACTTTACATTCACAAGACTCATGCACCTCATCCTTTTGCCCATCTAAAATATTCCACCGATCAGGAGAAAGTTGTAAATAAGGTGAAGCCTTGTTGTTAAGCTTCTCAAACACCAGCTTTCATGCTTGCTCTGTAAACTGGAATGTATATACCAAAGAAGTAATGAGACATATTAGGACTACCACTCTTGTCCAACTGATGGTAAAATCTTTCATCATCTTGCCTTTACAGCTTGTCTCTTTGTTTTCTTCTTGGGTAAAAAGACTAGGAAGGCCAATTGGGCAATGAGCTCTTCATCGTCTCTCCTGAACTCTCCTCCGATTCTTAGCATGCTTTTCCCCCTCACTCTATCTCAAGCTGGCAGTGGCCCCCCTGTACGGCTACAGAAAGGGAAGCAAGAGCATACAGTTTTGGGGGGAGAACCAGATATTGTTTGGGGGCAATGGTGAATTTCTCCCCTGTAATCCTGACCAGTTAAGGCCTTTAATTTAATATTTTCTGGGTTTTTTTGTCCCATATCCCTAAAAAATGGATGGATTTTGCTGACCCCACCTCTGAGAGCACCATGGATACTTCAGCTGGGCTGGAGGCAGTGGACGGTGGACCTAACCATGAGGACAAAGTCGTGGACAAGGAGTTTGAGGACGATGTGAAACACATGGCAGAGTTGTCTGGTGGTGTGGCGAGTCAGGACCTCTTTTCCACTCTGGAGGTGTCCAGCAGTCCGGCTCTGGAGTGCATGATTTCAGATCCGGATGCAAACTTTCCCTAGGTGTTGGTTTGGGTCCCTCTCTAATGATGTTGTTCTATTATCACTAATCCTTAGGCACATATAGTCAGCCAAATGTGCCAGACAACGGTGCTGCTGTAGGAAATTTTGGGTAACGGTCTCAGTATAAAGAGACAGGGTTAGATCACAGGATGGGCATAGCTTGACAGAGGCTGTCAAGTTGGTCTTGGGGCTAAGGCACAGGACCCAGGGGGCCTCACGAGATCTTACCTCAGTCGGTCCCCAGCATCGGAGCAGAACTCCCTGAGCCTCAGTTTCCCTACTGGTAAAATGGGACCACTACTTCCCTCCCTCATCTATCCAGAGGCTAAATTCAAGTCTGGGATGTGCTTGGGTGTCACAGAAGAGCCTGCACGTAAGCACAGTGCACGCGCACGCACACACACCCCGGGCCAAATCCTCTGCTAGAGGAATCAGGGAAGCCAGGCTGAGTGTTTGCCCCCAGGTTAGTGAGCGGCGCAGGGCACGTGGCCCAGGGAGGTTCCAGGTGCGTTGTTAGGCTGGGCGCTGTGGCAGCGCTCGGGGGAGGGCTCGGCTCGGCCCTGGGGCTGTAGCCAGAGCCCGGGCTGGGCAGCGCCGAACACTCCGCACCTCAGGGGGGCGGGGCCTGAGCAGCCCTTGGAACGTCCATGCCTCCCCGAAGGGGGCGGGGCCAGCCTGAGAACCAGCCCCGAAGAGGTCACATGATAAGCGCGGGGGAGGTCAGCTGACCGGAAGTGGCGCGTGCGGAGGAACGCGGCGGGTCGCTGCCATGGAGCGATACGATAAAGCGGCGCCCCCGGAGCTCGGGCAGTAAGTGCGGGGCGGGGGGAGGAGAAGACCCCGGTCGGGGGGAGTCTCAGGCCGGGGAGCTGCAGGCCCTAGCCGGGTGGACGGGGGGAAAAGCCGTCGGGCCGCTCTGAGCGGGGAGGCGGGTCCGCCTCTGGCCCAGCGGCTGCGGGGGGAGTCGGAGCCCCCTGCCCTGGGTCCCGTGGGGCGGCAGCGCGGGGGTCCCCGGGCCTCGCTATCGGGCCTGTCCAGCCCTCGGCCTGCCCAGCCCCGCTGGGGGCGGCTGACAGCGCCCGGCCCCTGCCATGGCTCGTGGTTGCCCGGGGCCGTGGCCCTGGAAGGGAGGGA